ATGGCAAAGCTCATTCTCTACTCAAGTTGAATCTCTGTGCATCCTGCCAAGCACGAATAAACTGCCCATTATTCACTATTCAAAGGCAGCCCTTACTTTCCTTGGAGCATGTAGGAGACTAAGGCACCTGACTACCATCTTTGCACCTAAGGTTCTTGGACCATTTACGCTGATCAAAGTTCAGGCTTCAGCACTCTGTCCTCTGGCATGTTCCCACTCCTCCTTTATGCTGATACTGGCATTCATCTGACATCACGGTGAGCCAACTCTGTTTGAAAAATTAGCAGTAAAGCAACCCAGAAAAAAAATAATACAGCAGCACAGCCAAAACACTCAGCAAGAAAGGTCTTTTTGATGGGTCAGCATCCTAAAGCAAGCTGAAAACGAACGCAAGATTTAACACAATAGGGCTAACAGCACTAGGACCGCAGTAACATCAATTTACGTAGGCCTAGACTGCAATAGGAATGAATTTTAACATGTTTGATCCCCAAAGGATACTCTCTGGTTTATTTGAGGACAATAAAAATGTTCACCTCCCCTTAAGAGTGACTATGTTGGATAAAAACTCATACCACCGAAGTTTTTCCGCAACAAGAAAGATCTAGAAATGTGCCCCTAAATTGCACAAGTGCACAAATGCAGCATTTTAGATATTTATAGTGAATGTTTTTGAATAAAGCTAGCTAATCTGCACAGAAAAGCAGTATCTTTAACACTTTGTCAGTATACTGCAGATATTGGCACATGTAAATAAATCCATATAACCCGCATGAAGTCCGAACAGACGATGGCTGCTGCAAAGAGACAGCAGAGGCAGTACGGCTTTCCTGGGAGAAGCCGTTACTATAAACATCCTTTCTTATTAACCACAAGTGCATATTATCCAAACTGCTGCTGATATACAGGTTGGAGAAGAGAGTGAAGGTTACGGGATTTTTTGTTTGCTTGTTTACACCAAGATATTCCACAGATTATTCCTGAAAAAAACACTATAAAATGTAATTACACTCCACATTAAATCAAAGATATTAAACCAAGCCAGAACATTGTTGAAGATGAAAAGAAAAAAAGAAAAATAATACTTAAAATTGTAAAGGCTTCAAGGGTAATGAGTCTACAATCCTAGAAATGTTTACTCTTGCTTTTTCATATAGAAGGAAGCATAAAAAAATATATCAAGAAACTAAGACTTTTACAAGAAAAAGAAAGGTCAGTACTCCATGTATTATGGGATCGCATGTGGGGGTAAAGGAATTTAGAAAACAATGCATGCCTAGTCTTCAACAGAATGTTGTTCCTACAAGCATTTTTAGCATGAAACATTAAAGTAGCAACAAGTACATTAAAAAATGAAGCCTATATAGTTACTTTCTGGGCATGACCTTTTCAAATTAAGGTTCTGGTTCTGGAGTTATTTCTGAATCTGCTCAATTTCATCCATGCAAGCAATTCTACTAAACTTAATGAGACAATTTATGAACAGGAAGTTAAGCACATAGTTAAACACTACAGATGAAGACATTTTACAAACATAAAGCTTTTCAATGTAATCTGTTATTTTATTTCACATAGTGCCTATGCCAGATTGATCATACCCTTCTAGATGACAGCCTACTCGCTTTGTCTTCTCCTTAAAAGCACCCCTAGATTGTTTGGTTGCTTGCTTCTTTGTTTTGATTTGAGCTCTCTACTACTGCTGGGGAAAATGTTCTAAACAGGATAGAGACAAAAAGTGAGGTCTTAATTTTTAACATGAAGTGTTCTCCATTTCACATTTTATAATTTTGCCACTACAATTAGAACAAGTCTGTTTCTAAATGGGGTGGGAAGGGGAACCACACTGTAATTAATGGAATAATAATAGCAATATAGTAAATTCCAGGAGATTCTTACAACATTCTGGTAAGCCACTGTATCTTTAAACATGTAGATAAAATGATTTATCTGGAAATTATATTTCTTAACAACAACAACAAAAAAATATCTTACTCTAAGAGTTTATTAGCTACACTTTTAGAAGGAACAAATACAGATTACATGCAATTGCTACAAGTAACAAACTTGAGTGTTGTTTAGTTTGTGCACAGACAAATAAATTAGGGGACACTCAGCTGCTTAAAATATTGTTTATTAACGACATACATTCAACGGATCGTTCTGGAATACCCAGGACAACACAAACCAGTTGACAATCACTTCATTTTCAAATCAGTTTATATACTGGTTTAAGGTCTTTCCAGCAACAAATGTGGTATCGTACCAGAAACTTACATAATAGAAACCACTCTACCCACAAAACGATAGCAGGTAATACCACTTTCCTTTCACCCGAGCAGACAGAAAACATCTCGATTCCCTAAGAAAAGCAGCCATTCCTGAAGAGCCCACCGAGTGCCACAGCGCTTCCCCAGGGGTTAGCTGCAGCACCTTTTCAACAGGCGATAAGCTGCAAGACCCCAGTCAAAACGGACAAAAAAGCCCCACTGCTTTCCAAGACACCTCAGCCTTTGTTTTCCTTTGAGGCCGCGGCGTATGCGCCTCAACTAGCAGTACAAAGGTGGGGGAACGGCAGCCAGTACCGCCGTTTTCCGTAGAGGCGGCCCGAGAAACAGGCACCCCCCAAACACCCCCAGCGCCCCGCCGGCCCCCGCTGCCTGCTCGGCGGGAGCGGCCGCTCGGACAGCGGCCGGCTGGCGAGGCGGGGGGCCGGCGCTGTGCATGTCCGTGGGCGACATTTTAAGCTGCCCCCGCTTTCCCGAAGGAACTGCTGCCCGTTTCCAACGGCCGGGGCGGCGGGGCAAGGCCGTGGGGTCCGCCCTGCTGCCCGGGGCCGGGTTCGCGGGGCTGCCAGGCGGACTGAGGTCCCGCGAAACGGGGGCGAGGCCGCCCCCCGGCCAGAGGTGCCAGGGCTCGGCCAGCCGGGCGGCAGAGGAGCCCGCTCCGCCCCAGGAAAGGGGGATTAACCCTCCCCTCGGCCACGAGCAGGGGTGAGGCCGGCCCCGCCGCCCTCCTCCCCGCAGCCGGACAGGCGCCCCGTGTGCGCGGCAGTCTCCTCCTCCTGCGGCCCGACCGGAGGCGGGAGGGGGCCGGGGCCAGGCAGGAACGAGGGGAGGGGGGAAGAGGCCAGGCACCGCGGGGCAGCCCTGCGCGCAGCCACACCTACCTGTCTTCTCGTGGTCATAGCCCACCACGATGAAGTAGTCGGCCAGCCTGGCCATGGCTGAGAGGAGCCCGCCTCAGGCCTCACCACCCCTGCTGCGGCGGCGGCGGCTCCCGGGAGGCTCAGCATCCTCCCCTCCGCACCCGCCGCAGGAGAAGCGGCACCGCCTCAGCCATGTTGGAGGCGCGGGCGCGCTGTGCGCCTGCGCACCGCTGCGCCGTGACCCCGCCGGGCTGGGCGTGGGCTGAGGGCTCGCCGGCGGCACGCGGCTGAGGCGGCACGCGGCTGAGGCGGCACGGCCGCGCTGCCCCGGGCCGCGCGCGCCACGGCGCCGCCTCGCCGTCCCCCGCGGCGGGAGCTGTCTCCTCACCGCCTCCGTCTGTAGTGCCCGCCCGGCGAGCTGGGGGTGCGCGACGCTTTCTCCCTTAAAATCAAACAAAACAAAAACACCGAAAAACCCCCACCAAAAGGCGTCAGGTCCGACCCATCTGCATGCTCGCGAAAACTCGGATGCCTGAGCAGGACTTCACCTAACCGCCCTCAGCAGGGACCTCTCCTGAGGGGAGCTGCCGGGTGAGGGCATTGCTCCCGCTTAGCCTGTGAGAAGATAAAACCCGGCGGTGAGCTAACGCCATCCCCCCCCCCCCCCCCGAGCTCAGCCTCGGGAATCGAGACTGACGTTTCCAGGATGCATCCTGTTTACGTTTTGTCCGGGATGTGCGGAACATGCGGCCGCGGGGCAATTGGCCCCCACGGCTGGGCTGGGCTCTGCGGCGGTGCGCGCTGACAGGCAGCTGAGTGACGGAGAAGGGACCTCAGCCCCGACCCTCCCTCACACCAGCAGCTGCCGCACCTGATGCCCTGCCCTGCGGGGCATGGGGCGGTCCTGCTCTGGCCGACGTGGGTGCCACTTCCACGCAGGTCGCAGCGCCTCAGGGTGGGAGACTGCCTGTGGCATTGGCTGCTAACGGGGGCGATGGCCAGCAGCACCTCGCCGTAACCCTCCTGGCCTCCGACGTGCTGGTCTGGGCACGCACAGGGGCTGCCTGGATGCTCTGCAAGGCAGCGGGGAGATTTTGTGTTGCCATTTATAACACAGAGATGAGGTCGACACCTTTTGGACTCTCACCCTCGAAAGCCCAACGGGCTTGCCAGCAGTCACAGAGATGCTGGTGATAAACAGCGTTTCTGACAGTACAGCACTTGGCTAACTGGCAGTCTGCCAAAGTATTCTGATAAGCTTCCATGTACGTCCTGTTTGACAGCACAGAGAGAATAAACAATGCAAAGGACATCAGTTGCACTACAGTGAGGAGCTGCAACAGCCGTGGGTACTGAGCTGCATATGAAAATGCAGCAAATTCACTGGATTTGCTCCTGGGGGACTCAGCAGACAGTCATTACCGGTTTCACAGAGACATTTCTGTTTCAAATATGCCATTTTTACATCTTCTACTTAGCTGGGACATACCGAAGCAGTGACTTGATGATAATCCATATGCAAATTGGTTGGGAATCTTCATTTATCAATTAGTGTTCCCATTTGTGCCTTCTCAGCAGAGGGCAGTAGCCGAAACCTCCTTGAAGTAATCACCTTTGGGGCTTAACTGTTTTGAAGTAGATGTCATGTAGAAAGATCTAAACACAATAAAATTGCTTGTTAACTTTAGGGGTATAATATATGTGTAATATATACATCAAAAACATTGAATATACTTTTTGAGAAAGAGATGCAGTGAGGAGTCAATCACTTTTTATACTAGGTAGGAGCTAGAAGAAGGAATACTTTTGTTAAATCACACATAGGCATTTTGGTTCATGATCCTATAGACTTTAATGACTGAAACCCACAAAGCTGTTTTCTAAACACTGAGCTTTTTGATTAAAATCATTTCTGAAGAAGCAACAAAGGAACACAAATCTTAATGAAGCCACACATTACCCCTATGAGGTGAACAAACATAAAGCCCACTGCCGTAACTCTTAGGGGGAGAGACTGTAGTCATTCAACAGCACAAAGCCAGGACATGCAACAGTTTACAAAAGCAAGGGATAATGTACAGCTAAACCTGGAGGGGAAGTTTAGAGACACTAAGAAATTACCTAATTTGGATCTGAAATGGGACCTTAGAGTTATCGTATCTGCACTCATAAAAAGGTTCGATATGTAATAACAAATCTCAGTATTTAAGTCTCACTGTTCTTTTAAGCCAGCACCTCTAGCAGGAGAATATCACCTAACACTTTTCCCAGGGCATTAACAAATGCTCGATCAAGAAGATGTTACGCATTGATTGCCCAATACTACTAGCACCTACTTTACAGCCTTGCTCCTTCTTCCATCTAGTCCAATATAGCCAAAGCTTGGTTAGTTTATAAAGCTTGCAATATGAAAGGGCACATCTTAAGTAGCTGTGTAACAGGAAGGGCACTGATCATTTGGGTTTGAACATGGCTGTGTACCTGCATGGACAGCAAAAGAAGTCAGTCACCCATAAGTTACTTCCTTAACTTCTCTTAAGTATAGAGCAATCTTATGTTCTTACAGGACAAATGAGGAAGTGCAGCAGACAGATTGATTGCTCACTTGAAGTCTAATACAAAGTAAACGGAACTTCCATCCAGGCCACCAAAACCATAATTACCTCTGTTGCAGCAGAATAGCCTGGCTCCTCCTGGGAAACAAAGGGGCTCACAGAGCCGTGGCGCTGGGAGGGCACCAAGGCCTCCAGAAGAACCAGGTAAGCAGCCATGTATTTATCCCAGGGGAAGAACTGTGGGACTATGGTCCCTCCAGAAGACTGAAAGCACACAAGGAACAATGTTGCCATACTCAAACTGTGTGCTTACCACCAAAAAGGTGGGAAGGTTCACAATACCTTCTACAGTCAACTCCTCCTTCAGGAAATATGAAGGTCACACTCTGCCTGCAGTCCCTTACTCTAGTGTCACCGCACCCCATGCCAGAACAAGGAAGCAGCTGTGACCCTGACCAGGTTTTCCCCTACCAAGATGCATTCCACCCCCATTTAGGAAGTTTTGTCTGGTGTACTCAAACTTGTCAGATATAAGGCTCACCAAAAGCACCTCCAATGGGACTACCAGGAATGGAATCACCCCTTGGCACAAAGCTGGCTGAGTGCATGCACTCACAGCAAGGCTTTTCTGTGTGGAGCATGACTGAGGTTGTACATCTGTCGTGGGGTGTCATTCTTCTGTTAGTATCATTTTTCTGCTGATTTCATACAGCCTGAAATACAATCAAGTATATTCATAGTCATGACATATGAATTCAGTAAAACTTGTTTAAATCCAAAATGAAACACGCCAAAGCACTTCCACTGGCTTCAAACAACAATTTGCTTGCATAATCATCATACAATATTTGCCTCAAACTGATTCCCCATTGATGCCTACAGATTTTGGACCTTTGCTTTTGGAATAACACTCAGCCTCAATAAAATGCCATACAAACAGCAACTAATCTTCACCATCTCCCTTCCAGAGCAGATACATATTTCAGTCTTTTGTGCATATGGCAACACCAAGAGGTTGAATGACATGCCCAAGATAATCAGGAAACAAATAGAAGAGCTGGATGTTCCTCCAGGCCAACTTCCCACCAATGGATGGAGCATCATCCAGAGAAGACCCTACACTTCAGAGGAGAGCCTGATCTTGCTGAACTATGTGGCACTGCCTCAGAATAAAAGTTTGTGAATAATATTTTCATGGAACATTCTGTGTAACTTTTTTCAAAATGGAAATAACTCACTATTTATGAAATATCTTTTTTAAAGTGGCCACTGTTACCTCATAGTACAAATTCAGTGACTCAAACTGCACAGGGGTGCAAGTACTTAGGAAGCACAAAATGATCATCTGAACAAAGAACATGATGTTTTGTGTTAGATTTGAACTGGCTTTACTTGCTGGTAATTTGTGAAAGCCCTTTCACAAATCACATCAGCAACAAACTGATAATTTATGTGCCAAAATCTGCCGTCTCATGAATTCAGAGTAAATTTTGTATCCCTAAAATGACAGCTGTAGTCAGTATGGAACTCACATGTGAGTTGTGTTACTACTGTTGTTACTATTCCTAAACCAACCTAGGATTCTTTCTGCATTGTTTGCCTAAGAGTATACAAGACACACTTCCCATTTAGTCAAGGATTTTAATGAGGGATTTTCCAACATTTGGGGAAGTGTGTGATTTCTTTACTGGAACAGGAGACTTAATTTGAACCAAAGCAATGCTCATCACACAAAATCCTGCCTTCCCATTCAGGAAAACTAGATTCAGTTTCAACTTCTGCTGATCAAGGAAACGCTTGAACTCACTCGAGCCTGCGCTGCCTCATGAGGTCTCTAAAATCCAGTCATCGTGGTCTGATGCAGTTGGGCAGCTCTGGTCGTGATACAGTCCCGTTGTAGACCACCTATTTTCCCATTTCTTCCCTCCGGAGTTCACATCCCAAGCCTCTCGCTGGGAGCACGGTCCGTGGGGAGGGCAGCGGGACTCCGCGGAGCTGCCCGAGCCGGCGGGCGGCAGGGACGAGGGATGGCCCGGGGCTGCCCCCACGGCGCCCCCCGCGCTGCCCCCACGGCTCTCGGCCGCGTCCCGCCCCGCGCGGGGGCCGGGCGGGTGCGGCGGAGGAGCGGCTCCGGGCTTGCCCCGGCCGCCAGCTCCCGGCCGGGGAAACCGCCTCGCCCCGCGGGACCCACGCCGGGGGCTCGGGAGAGAAAGGCGGCCCGGCCGAAGGATTCCGTGGGGGGCAGGTACCGTGGGCGCGGACTCTCCCCGCCCGTGGGTGCCCGCGGAGAGCCTGGGAGGGCCGAAGGGGCGGCAGCCGGCCGGGTGGCGGCTCCCGGGCCAGCCGGCGCCCCACAGGTAGATACCGGAGACAGAAGCCTCGGGGTGCCTGGCCGCTGCTGGCAAGACAGCGCCTTAGACCGACTCAGTTGTGCACGGGAAAGTTTCCGTCAGCCCCTCGCACATACCTCTCCGGGGTGGTGTTATATACCGCAGTTATCTAGAAAGGCAGAGTCACGAGTACATACTCACCTGATTTTTGAAACGCTTTGCTTGGGGCAAGATGCGAGAGAAACGTCGGGCACGCGGCAGTTCATTCCCTCCTCCCGAGTATCCCCTGCTGGGAAGGGGACCCTGATGCCTCAGGGCACAGGTCTCCCGGGGTATTTCCCTCGGTTCCGCTGAATTTGCGTTGAGAGAAGTAGAGAAACAGTCCATCTGGTGCTGGCTTCCAGCATTCCCTGCGAAGCCGGACCTCTGCATTGCTGAAGCGTCACGGAGCAAAGATGTAAAAGACTGTAAAAAAAAAAAAAAAAAAAAAAAAAAAAAAAAAAAAAAAACAAACACAAACAAAAAGGTGGACAGACTAAGGTTTTGCCGATGGCCAGATGGAAAAATGCTGTTAGAGACCTTGATCCTGCACTGGATTAGCGTTATAACCGGGGAAGTAAATGCTCTCACTTCGAGGACTGAGGGTAGGCGAGTCGTCCCTGCCCGTCATTTCAGTGTGCTTGCCTCGAAGCAATACCCCTCTGGTCAAGGACACAATAGTGCGCTGTCACCTTCATCTTCCAAAACCATGTCAGGTGTGATTTGAATCAAGGAAATCAAATACATTTTATTAGATAAAAAATGCACCTGAGTGATAAATACTATTGATGTCTGATCTGTCACCTCCTGACTTATGTAAAGCAGGCTGGCATTCATTAGTTACTCATTATAAGTCACATTGTCCAGATACAGGTTTATTTTTGGAACTTTGGTATTCGATGGATTTACATGGATTTTGAAATTGATTGCTTCTAGTTCCTACTCCCCTGCTTCCACCCACCTGAAGTTAAGATGCCTCGGATGAGAAATTATACTATAAACCGTGTAAACATAATTATACATGAGCAGTTAAAAAGTCTGTCCCCGGTAAAACAGACCGAGGGGTTCTGATTTCGCAAGTTATGCCACGACTCGGAATCAACACCTAAAAGCTGTCGTTATAATTAACAAAATACCAAGGGAGTTGATTAAGATAATTTTCAATAATCCTTTTATTTTACCTTGGTATGGGTTGCCCCCAGTCCACGCTGGAATAATGAAGTGCTCGAGATGATCAATAATGAAGTGGTGTCAAAAAAAAAAATTTAAAAATAAAATAAATAAATAACTATCTAGAACCACGCCCATCCGGTTCAAGCCGTTTCCCCCCGTTCTCCCCGCGCTGCTCTATAAAAAAGGAGACGGGAGCGCAGCTCCGCAGTGATTACTTCACACACAAAGAAGGAGTCCTCCCTCCTCAGGAAACTCTGCAAGTCCGGATCGCTACTACAAGAACATTTGTCTCAGTGGATTATCCTCACTGTCAGGTAAGAAATATTATTTTGTTTTTTTCTCCCTCAGCAACAACAAAAGATGCAGGGGAGGTGGAGAGGAAGGAAAAATCTACTAAATCTGGATTGTTTTGAAGAGCTTGGAGTTACTCTGCGGAGTCTTGCACTGGCTCTTGGCATCAGCTGCAGTTTACAACATAAGATCCAGAACTAGCTGGTTCTGCGTGTGAAGTGGGAAGATGAGCTATCAGGGGATACATTTCCAGGCAGCAAAACACTTGCTGGAGTTTGGAAACGATGCGTCTGATAGCCAGCTCTCTCTAATCCTACGGGTTTGCTAAATCCTAGTGCAAGCCGCTGGGGGTATTCTGGAAATCCTGCTAGTTTTCAGCCGCCTCTGCAAGAAAACTCTCGACAAACGTAAACTTTGGAGGCTCTGTTATTTACTCTGTGATAAGTTGCCGAGCAAATATTAGCTTCTGGTTCATATCGCACACAAAGTCCCCAGTAGCCTGGGGGGTCTCCGAGGGAAGGAGCTCCCTGGAATCACCAGAAATAAAGGACAGACCTTACTTGACTTTTATTAGCAACCATGCTTACGGTTCTTCTCTCTTCCTTCCACCAGGAGCCCAGCCAGAATGAAACTAGTGCACGTAGCCCTGCTCTATCTCGGCTCTGCGACCTTCTTCGGGGTGGATGCTGCAAGGGTGGACGTAGCGACAGAGTTCAAAAGAAAGTGAGTATCGGAGCGCGCCCTCCTGCCAGCGCCCAGCCCCGCTCCTGGGGCCGCGGAGCCTCCGCGCCCCCGCGCCGGGCTCCGGCCGTGATTTGAGGCACCGGACTCCCAGCGGGAATTGCACGGCTCCTTAAAGGCCTCATGCCCTTTCAGGAAACATTAAAAAAAAAAAAAAAAAAAAAAAGAAAAAAGAAAAAAAAAAAAAGAAATCTCGGCGCTGGCAAAGATTATCGCCCCTCGAATCTATTTGGTTTGGCTCCCGCCCTGCAGGCTTGCGCTAACAGGCTGTCCTCTTCCCTTGCGCTCCTTTCAGATGGACGAAATGGGCACTGAGCCGAGCCAGGCGGGACGTGAAGCCTTCGGGCGCGCTGCGGGGGCTGGGGGCAGCCGCCGACGTGCAGCCGCTCATACGGACCCAGGACGTGAAGGAGGATCCCCGAGTCTCGCATCCCAGGTAAATTCCAGCCTTTTTCTGGGCTCGGGCACTTGCTCGAGGCGGTGGAAAGTTTCAGGGTCCCCTCGTTTCGGGGGGTTTAGGCTTATTCTCGCAATAGATCCCCCAAGCCCCGGAGACAGGTCCTGCCCGGGCTGCACATCCTGCTGGAAGCAGCCTTCCGCCTCCCTTTCCCCGCGCTCTTCAGCTGGCGGGAGATAGCAGCGCCTTTACTGTGAAAGTCAAATACAAATAGTGACTTGAGCTCTGGATCCATAAATAAAGTAATAGCCGTAAAACGGCGGGGCCTCTCCTCCCATCGGCAGCAGGCTCTGCACTGCTACCAGATCGCCACTCTCCCGCCGCTCGGCGGAGGGCAGAGCCGGGGGGGGGGGGCAGGAGGGGGCCGGCAGTTTTGCACCGTAGGGACGGGCCCGCCTCCAGCCTGGGGGCCCACCGGGTCCCCTCCTCCGGGGCCCCACTGCGCTTTTCTCATGCTCGCTCTCTTCTTGCTTCGCAGCAGCCGGGAGGATGCTCTCATCCGCGTCAAACGCTACCGCCAGAACATTAACAGCTTCCCCCACTTCCAAGCCATCCGCACGGGGTGCCGGTTCGGGACGTGCACGGTGCAGAAGCTGGCTCACCAGATCTACCAGCTGACCGACAAGGATAAGGACGATGCTGCCCCCGCCAGCAAGATCAGCCCCCAGGGCTACGGCCGCAGGCGGCGCTCCCTGCCCCAGCGCCGCAGCCCGACGCGCTCCCCCCAGCCCGGGCGGCGGCCCCGGCCGCGGCGGGCGCAGCCCCTCGCCCCCCTCCTCGGGGTCTGAGCGCCGCCCCCGCCCCCGCCGAGGCCAGCTCGGATGGATGGACTGAGGCACGGACGCTCCGGAGCTCCGCCGCCGATCGGGAGCCGCCGCCAGGATTCGCGGAGAGGCGCCTGTCCGGGCGGGACCCCGGCACAGGCCCTCCGGGCGGCGGAGCGGCGGGCCGCGCCGCCGGGGCCCCCCAGGGCGAGGGGGCGGCCGGTCCCGCGGTCCCCGCCCGCGCCCGGCGCGGAGAGACGGCACGGGGAATCTGTGAAGGCCGCGTCCCGCCGGGGACGCGCAGGGGCTGCTCCCCCCGCCCGCCGCCGCGGCGAGGCGGTCACTGACTCTCTACCCTCCCCGGGCGACGCGCCGCCGGCTCCCGCGCCCGCCGCCGCCTGGGACTGGGACTGTGGGACTGGGACTGGAAGGCGCCCGAGCCGTGGCCGACAGAGGCGCCGCTGCCCCGCCGGCCGCCATGTCGCCCCCCGCCCCGTCGCGGCGCCCGGGGGCGGGGGAGTGGCGGCCGTTCCTTGCCGGGGGGCTGCGCTCCGAGCGGCCCCGGCTGCCCCGGGAGGGGCCTCCCCCGCTGCTCGCAAGTGTCGCGGGGTGCGCGGTCAGCTCTCGGCAAGGACAGGTCCCCCGCATCTGCTCTACCCTCTGCGTTATCTGCACCCGGCAGGGAATCGGACACTCACTAGTCCCCGCGGGGACTGCAATATACTTGAACGTCACAGCGAGGAAAAGTGCAATTGTACGTGGTTTTTGTTAATTATAAGTGCGGTGTGTGTGGATCATGAGATACGTATCGATATTTAAGATTGTCTTGTGTCGTGTCCTGTTTGTATCTCTTTTTGGAAAATATATTTTATTTTTATACGTTTTGTATATATATATATATATATTGCATAAGGGCATTTTAAAACATTGTATCCCCTCTATTTTTCATATCGTGAATGTCAAACATTAAACTCTTTTTCCATACCTTTTTTAATCTTGCATTCCAGACTGGTGAAAGATGTAGAGAATGTATCAGCTGTTCTCCATGGGTAATATGTGAAATAAAATAAACACTATTACATAAAACAGTTCTGTTATGTTGTCTTTAGTGGGGGCAGGTAGTCAAGATAATGATTTCTTATGGTGTTCGGTCCTACCCTTACTAACCTAGCATGGCAGTTCTGTGACAGACTAAAAGTCTTCAGTTACAGATGGTTGTTAGCAGCCACCTTATCTAGTCAAATCAAGTAAACTCAAAAGCAAGCATGCATCTTAAAATCCCAGGGCAGATCTGTTGAGAAGGCTCTAAGGCCTTTTCTACCCACATGTTCCAGCCAGGGCTGAAACGTGTCACAGCTTGGATTGATCGTGCAAGTTTATTTTTTGCCCTAATTAATCAGAGAAACAACTGCACACTTCAACATTGCACAACGAAGTAACAGATTTATTGAGGGAGCACGTTCCAAAAATGGTCATGGCAGCTTCCAAGGTTATTTATGTTGAAGGATTTCCTGGGCCACAGTTCAGGTTAAAGCTAAGCGGTGACCGGTTCAGTGCGGGCAGAACATCTCGGATAAAAGCTTAGCATTAGGGATTTTGTTTTGTTCTTTTTTTTTTTTTTAAACAAATTCCAACCACAGACCAGACAACAAATGTGAAACTGAACATTATTAATGTACCAACAGCACCATCTATGAGTGTCTACTCTGCACTTCAAGAAAACTAACTTTAAAACTAACCAAGTGGATTCAAATAACATCTTGGGTAAACAGTACAATTTCCCCTATTTTACAGTATCTCTGAACATTGCTAAAATATATAGGAGTGAACTGAGGTACAGCAGCACTAAATGCTGCTAGAATAAATGAAGCGGGCATATGCTTAAGGAACTTGTATTTACAAGAAAAATACAAAAGAACTGGTAATGATGCTTTTCCAGGAATACTGCTGCAAAAAAGCTTGGTTAGGAATCCAGTTGACTAGATACCTGGCATGTATTCATAATGATTTTTCTCCCCAGTTTTGAAGTTCTGCTCAGAATTGCCTATTTTTAGTTACTTTCCTAAACGTTTTCAACTAAGAATTTTGCAATTCTAAGAGGTGGCTTTTCCACTTGAAATGTTATTTAAAAAAAAAAAAAAGTGCATATATATTGACATTTGCCAATTTTAATTACCATCTGTTTGCTAACAGCTGGAAGATAATTTACCTCTCTACTGACGATGGCTTTTCTGATCCAGATTTTGTAAAATGTAAGGGATGAGAGCAAATGCATGATCTTCAGCGCAGATTATAGCTGCCAGCTGAGGTACAAGCAAGTGGCTATTCTCAAATAATGAAAGATCTTGAAATTAGAGTAGTTGCTGCTTATAAGTTTTGGGGTGCTTGTGGGAAATTACAATGTGTAGGTGAAAGCATGATCCTACATAGCACAACCAAAATGACTTCAACAGAGCCATACAATGTGATAGCTACAGTGTTTTACTTACGTGTTACACAGCTAGGGACTTTGTCATCTAAGCTTGGGATGTAAGGCTGGGATATAGTGTGGTTAAGTAGGTACTTGCCAACTAGCTACGCTTGTTTGTATTGATCTCCTCATTTGCTGCCAAAACCCAGTCCCTACTTAAAATACCTTTTCTTCCTTCCTTTCCCTTTCACTGACAGAAAACACTTCACTCAAAGCTGAAAGATCCTTGGACTAACCAGACAGGGCTAAACCCAGCAAGCTGGTGCTGGACGGCATAATTCTGACCTTACTGGACTTTAAGAAGTGCAATTTCTGTTTGGAAGGATCACGAGCACCACCTGCAGCACTTGAAGGGAGAAACAAAACTCCGTAGTTGCAATAAACAGCAGCTAAAGAAAATTATTTTATTTTTTAAATTCTCTCCACCTCCCCTCTATCAAATCTTTGAAACCATGTCTTTTAAAGCATAAGGACCAACGCTGCTGAACTAGACATACCAGAAAGTAGTGAATAGCCCTGTGCCTGGAAGACAGCACGTTCTCTAAATGCACGGAGCTGAAAAGTAAACCCTGGAAATACTATGACCACGTATTTTAGCTAACCTAGTTAGGCTAGGGAAGATAGGCTGGAGGAGAATGACAGAGCAGGCAGGGGCTCTTATCCATTGCACAGCTAACTCCACATCCCAAACTGAGTTCTGGGTTTTGGGCGACTGGTCTGTAAGAGCTAAAATAAATAGACAGCATTCTCCCTCCTCATCCATTTCTGCAGCTGCCCCAGGTGAGAGCTGTCCAGGCGAAAGTGCTTGTTCCTGCCCAAGCAGGGGACATTACTGAAAAATTTTGGGTAAGCATCTTTTCACTACAAACATCCCACAAAGCAAAATGTTGGGCACTAACCTTTAACCGGTAGTTGAAATCCATACATGAACTAGATTAAAATCTCTAAGGAGTAAGAGGACTTTGAAACCCCTGAGGTTTCAGGGAGAACAAGACTGAAACAGTATCAGCCCATGAAAACAAGCATCCTCTTAAAGTCCTAGAAGGTCAAGAAGAGCTGTGTGCTTAGGTCAAGGCCAGCTTATGCTTTAATGTGACAGAAGAGAAGTGGAAGATGTCATCAAATGCCTTCAATATCAGGAGCATTGGTTTACACAACACCTTAGTTAAGGTATTTGTTTCTAAGAACAGTCTGGTGTCCCATAGACCAGCATTTCAAAGGCTGCTTAAAACATGACTATAAATTCAGTTCAAACAAAGTTCTAAATGAAAATTAAGTTTTGCAATGGTAAATATGTATTGGAGCAGGAATTCATCCTTGTCTGCCAGTCTGTTCAAGAGTGGTCGCCATTCTCAGCAAAGCCTCTACAGAGAAGTGTCAGAAGAGTTAATGGTATATTCTTTATGAGTTATTTTGGTTTGTACCAACACTAGAGACACCATATGGCAAAGAAAAAGTACTTCACTATAGACAACTTTTTATTACCAAAACAGATTCCAGAGGCTATTTTTATCTCAGAAAGATTCTTGTGGCTCCATTATTAGCACTATACATAATGGTGGCAAGGGGCCTAAAATGATATACAAGTGCTTTCCCATAAAGTCCTAGTGCAGGTCTCCTAGCCTGGAAGAGGGAAACGGTTAATTATTTTTCTTTCTCCAATTGGTACCCCAAAACTTACTTTAAGCAGCCACATCACATGTAGGACTGCAAAAAATGCTTGTTCTCCAGTTACGTCAGAAAGTGGTCAAAGAGTTCTGCCACTGTTACCTAGGAAGAACTTCTACTGTATCCACAAAGTAGAGACACTGGTGTACTTTCAGACCATTATCAAAATCTGCAAAGCATCTTGGTCCATGCTAATAAGAACTGCAGTCAGGTGCCAGATATAAACTTTTTCTGCAAGTACAATGACAGAAAGGGGAATACTAATGAATACTTTGGCACATAGGAAGCCTTTTCTGGCTCATTTCGTACCCAAAGGACAGCAAGTCATAATTAAAGCCAATAATGGCAACTCCAGACAGCCATCCAAATATTTTCCTTGTACTGTCAATACACCATTTTATATTATCTCACATCATACTTAAGTAGTGTAGAGCACACAGGCATCAGGAGAAGAAATTCCAGCGTGACTGAGTACAACCAATAACTAAATCCAATTATGCCTAACTGAAATTTGTTTATTGTTTTCACAAGGGTTTGTTTTTATTATCCAAATATTTCTTAAAGAACAGTTTTTTTCATCAAGTAATTTATGTCAGCTTTGAAATTGTTTTAATTTTAAAATACTTAATTCTTTGGAGCAGGGCCATGTATCCTTCATGAGGAGAAGGAGCATAATTTGTTCATGAGGTAAAGAACTTTGCTATGTAAAAGCCTTTTTTACTACATGCTATATGCACTAGTCAAAATGCTTGATAACTATAATGTCTTCAAATGAAAAACAAATGGTTCCATTAAGACTGGAATCACTGTTAATGATTTGATAAGACTGGAGTGTTTTGCTTGCAAAATTCCCAGCCACAGCAACAGCAATGAGGAGGTCAAATTAAATCTTTTGACTTTCTTTGATTCTGTGATAATTTTTACTGAGCATTTAACTAGACCTCCTTGAGTCTCCCATCCACTTACAAAAGCGTGGGTTTTTCCAAAGTCGGGAAAGATCAGTTCAACCCAGCTGTAGGCAAATATTTTGTAATAAATTCTGACTCTCAGAATAGGTATGCAAAATAAATATTCCTCCAATATTTTCAGTCAGCTATCACTTCCCAGATCTGTTAGTTTGCAAATTACATGCAACCTTTCCAGCAATTACAAAATGGTTTATATTTTCTTTATACTTTGCTAACATGGTGTAAAAATAAACAAACAAATGTCTGGGTCTTAATCTCTGATGTCCAGTAATATTGGCAGAAACAAGAGAACAAACATAATGGATCTTATCTGTTAGTTCAGGAGCAAACTAAGCAGTTCATCAAACAAACATGATTATTGTCCTTTTAATAGGTGGTTACTGTCACAGGAGTTATCATGAAACTGGAACACGCAAGGACTAAAAGGCCACCATGTAATTCATCCCACTGGTGTTACAGGAGAGGACAAAAGGGGGTGTGTGTTCCTCATCTCCCCTTACATGACCTGACTCTATTGTGGCTCTCTGCTGGAAAGCAGTAAACTCTGAGAGGCCACTACACTTCCCTGCCCATATGTAAGGACTCAGGAGCAGATCTGAGTCTGCACACTGGAAGAAGACAGCTGCACCTTGTAAAATAAATTTGTTCTCTTTAGAGACAAGGAAAAAGTGATAGATTTCAAAGTCACTTTTTCTAAGTCACTTTTTGCCTCAGGCTGAGCAGCTCTGCATCTCATTCTGCATAAGGAACAAATTCATAGTCTGGCCCTTTATTGATAAACATCACGCAAAATATGCAACTGGCATATATCATTGGGCTCTGTACTGCCTACAGACATCAAACATTCTGGTGGTGATGCACTGGTGAGCCAGATAGGAATCTCAGCACCAAATCCCAGGCCTGAGACTGATCCCACCTAATTGAAACAAAACTTCTACTAACTTCAGCAGGAAAAAAATCTAAGCCCCAGCTTTCTTTCA